CATCGTGACTGATTTCGTTTATCGTTGTTGATATTAATATGATAAGCCACATGATATTCCCAAATTTGTAAGAAACACTGATATTTCTGATACGATATTAATGGCCTGATAAAGTAGTTGTCAAACATGAAACTACTATTGACGATACATGTATTTCTTAATGTCCAGCGGTGTCGGTACCCAACTGTTTTAGAATCGTTAGATATCAATAATAGCAATGTTATAAATTGCTTTATTGATCAGGTAATGCTGCAAGCTGTTTGAATTTGTAAATTAAATGAATTTAGTGTAAGTTCGATTGAATACATTATCACTTTTCTACGTTATAGAAAGGAATCGAAAACATTTTACTTATCGAACATCGAGAAGAAGCTATAAATTTTTTGACAGGTAGAAATGTTCCTGGAAATGTCAGAGAGGTATTGTAAACTGTAGTGAAACTATTTAAAATTTCAAAGTGATTGTTTCTACGTGCTTAGGATGTACGTTGTCTTAATACGCAGGCCTATATAATCAATGGTGACCATCTTTATGGCGGCGCTAACTTCAGATATTATTCCAATTTTCGGCGTGGAGTTCATTATTTTGTACGAAATGTAACAGAAGAAATAAGGTACGGATAGATCAGTCGATGATTACAAATTTTTATCATTGTAAAAGTGTAGATAGATGTTATCACACTATGAAAATAGAGGATGTTGTTGATGTTTATGATGTCAGTCGGCGTGAAATTAATAAACGTTCTTTATTTAATAGACGTAGAAAATCGCTTTTTGAAAATTGCAACAATGACATTCGCAACGCTAGTGCTCAAATGACATCAATTCAGAGGAATTTAGATAAAATTAAGGTCTTAAATTATACTTGTATTTATCACAGTATATATATACAAGAATAATATTTTGAAGTTTAATTACATTTACTAATCGATATTGGGATGATAACACAGACGGACTATAATTCAATACGCCAATCAATTAGCTATCATCAAGACCGAATGAATTCACTAAAGAATGTAAATAAATATGACTCATAATTTATGACAGGTAATGGTAGCAATTAATAAAGGCTGACTTAATATTATTTCTTACAGGAAATCCAAGAGTTGCAATCGTTTGAGGTCAAAGCCTCTGATTTGACAGCATTGGTAAGACAACATCTAAGTCCAACAACAATTTAGTAAAGTACAAGGAAATTACAAACTCTTTTATCAGTCCTACAATTTCTAATCTTAATATATAGGAAACGGAATTACATGACAGAGAGGAAGAAATTGAGAAAGATAAAGAAGAGGTTCAAATTTATTATAAATTTCTTGTTACTGTCTCAACTCTAGTTTACTATTTCTACAATGTCATGTTACCACTAATTTGATATAGCAATTTCGATTATTAGTTAGAAAAACTCGTGGTATCATACCGCAACGTAGCCACAAAAGCTACAACATTGGAAGATCAGATAAATGACCTCGAAAATGGGATACAAAAGATCGTGGAAGATATGAAACTGCTTAAAGTATGCAATTTTGGGGGTTAACTCTATTTCTATACTGTACAGTGTACAGCCCTTATGCAACGATTATTAATCATTTCTAATTAGGAAAAACGTAAAGAAATTGAAGTAAAATACAGGAGTTATGATAGTCAATGGAATGAATTGCAATCAAAAATTGATCAATTGTATCGTAAGAAAAATGAAAAATTACAAACTACTTCTAATCAAGAAAACACCGTAGAGGTAAGATATGTCTATAAAATATATATCAGTTCAGTGATTCAATCCATTCAATTGGGCTTATGTACTTTCATTACCACATATAGACGTCCAAGGAAGCCGCTTTCAAGTTATCTCCAACGCGATGTAATTCCAGTTTAGATATTTCAACATTGAATAAACAAATTAAGGCAAAGAAAAAACGTTTAAGGGACCATGAAAAAGAAACTGGTAGTCGTGAAGAAATTCTGGCCGCTTACGGTATTGCAAAAAAAAAGTATAATGAACAAAGCGGTCACCTTACTATACTTGATAGTACATCTAAGGTAATTCACTTTTACACCAAAGATAAGGATAATTTGTCTATGTTGATGGCACTATCACTTTTGGAGCTACGAGAAATGGCACAGGTTCACCTCATCAAAGCTAGTAGCTCCATGTGCGATTGAAATTGGTCATGACGCAAATGCTATTACTACAAGCAGTACCGTACTAAAAGTTATTGAAGCTGTATTTCTTACTGATTGATGTTAGTTTTAGTTTCTTATTATGTACATATTTCTATGGTGATGATTTTTTTCGGATAGTAAGTAAAAGTCAATAGTTACCAAGACTCTATACTGTTGTCAAGCTATATTACTTATTGATGGATAAAGATTTAGTTTCTTAATATGTACCTGTTTCTGTATCGATGATTTCTTTCGGATAGCAACTGAACAATCAATTAAAGAAGCGACACAAGCTATTTACAGGAATGCAAAAAATTTTAACTCAACGAATTATCACTACATTTGGTAAAACGTTGGCAAAAAGAGGATATCTTGGTACTATGCTGATTGATCATAACAAAAAAAAGATATCTTTAGATGTATGTTATAATTATAGTAGTGCAGTTCAGGAATAGCCATTTTGGATTGTGATTCATTGACACGTAAACTTTTAGGTTAAGATATCTGCCAATGCAAAAACCTCTGGCACCGGTTCATTGTCAGGTGGTGAACGATCATTTTCAACCGTTGCTTTTATCGTCGCGCTTTGGGAAGCAACGGATTCACCTTTACAATGTTTAGATGAATTTGACGTTTTTATGGTATGTTGTTGTTGACTTGTAGATTAACTCTCCTAAGTAAATAAAACTATATTTTTATAAAAACTTTCATTATGAAGTTTATGGCCGTAATTTAAAGTCGTTACCCTATTTATACAGGACATGGTCAATCGAGATTTGTGCATGGATACTTTGCTACAATTAGCCACGAAAAGAAAACGTCGCCAGTTTATATTTCTATCTCCACAGAACATGAGGTGAGGGAATCATATCAGCGTTGTGCCAGATACTCATTGGTATGGTTTACGCAGGTAAGCTAATTACGTAAAAGAAAATTCTAGCCTAACTTCTACCTTTACATACCGATCTTTAGCAAATTAAAGTTTAAGGAAAACATCAGAATTCACCGTTTACAAGATCCTGCACGTGAAAATAATCAACCACCAATTACGGATAGCTTAGTTAGACAGTCCTGAAATATGTCCATTTCTGTATTTTAAATAAAACTGTAGTGTTAAATGCTTATTATCCGTAAAGCGTTCGCTTTTATACTGTTTATCTACTGTTTAATAATTCTGTACAGGCTAGATTGATTTTAAGCTTGTTGATGGCAGTAGAAGGTGAGTTTATACGCTGGAAATTAGATTCCTATTTTTACAAACTTGTTCTTTACAATCTTTGGTATTCAACATTAGCCATATCCACTGTTTATTACAATTGTACATTTACTTTCTTCGGTTAAAAGTTGTCTGTTTTAAAATTAATTGCACTAGATTTAGCGATGACGTCATTTGCTGAATTTCTTGCTAGCAATGTTGTTGTACTGTACATCATTATGTTGTTCAATGTGCGTTATACTAGTATTATGACTGCTACAACCGATACGAATTTCAATCTTTGGACTCGTCAACTAGGTGATAACCATGATACTTTCAAGCGATTTATGAATGATTATAAGGGAGTTATTGCGACTGATATAACTCTAATAAAGTTCATTTATTCGTTAATGTTTCTGTCGATGTGATGATTTGATTTACTGACCTGCATAGCAGGTCCATGGTTGTCTTATAGAATACACAAATGTATTCTACTAGCAGTTTAGGCATGCATCTGTATAATGTGCAGCACGACAATCATTAATAAACATAAATCGAGGCCACGATCATGATGATCATTACATTCTAGATGACGGTGCAACTAAGCTATCGCCTTAACCCCCCAAAATAATTTTAGATTATTGCTAATAGCGATAAGCGACTAAATATTATTATCCAATTTTTGTCCTAAATTTACAGTTAGTAATAGGTCAATGTTTGATGTTGTGGATTATTTGCACTGAGTTAGCATGGCATACTATATCAGCTGTCGTTGTGGTAGTAGAGATTAACCGAGTACAGTATGAGATTTAAGTTTGAGTTGGATATAAATTTATGACACTGAAAGGATAAATTGTTTTAACCGATCTGTTCTGTCACGACACTGGAATTACTATCTTGGTTATTCTAATTTGATAGCAACGAAGTATTCTTACATCTTGGAAAAGCAATAGTAAGTTTTATTCCTTGTCTATTATCACTACTTGGAATATCGAAAGGCAGTCTTCATTCGCTACTGGAACTTTAGATCTAAGCAATTATTAACAAAATTGTTCCAACAATGTGGATATGAACTTTAAAAATTAGCCACTTAAGGAGGTTAACTTACTATCAATGCATTAAAATCAAGTTGCGACGGCTGTAAAAGTCTAGTACTGGTATTTTAAATGCAATTAGTGATATTTTTTACGCTGATTTTAAATTAAGCGCTACGATTTCAGAATGTCGCAGGATCATTTCCCCTTTAAATTGTTAGCTTGATTAAAAAGCCACTTCCCATTTCTTACTTTCATTATTATTTACAGACTGTAGTCAATCTCTGCAAAAAGGATTAACTGATCTTTTGAAACGATGCCGTCTTATGCAACAGATATTCGAGGTTTCTTTAGGTAAATTCATTAATCTGTATTATTCTAAAGGATCACTTAACAGCGCTATAGTTTAACGAATTGGCAAATTTCATACTAAGATTATAAATTAATTAGCAACGATCAAATAGAATATATCATCTGATTACAATTTACTTTTCAAAGTATCAAATTTGAGGGAAAGCTTAGCCATCTCGTTAGATGGAAAAAAGTAAAATACACGCACGTTCGGATATCAACATTTATGCGGATGTACAGTTTTAATTATATCCAGAATTGCAAACTGATCAGCAGAAATTGACTTTGAGATTTTTCAAAGTTAAATCATTAAATTTGGGGATAAGACTTGTAGCTATTAAGTCATTCAGTCATTTCTATTTAGTCTCAAATTGATTATGGTCTTAATACATCATTACATATCTGCAAATAACGGCTTGGATATCGTTTCTTTATTCTGTTTCACGGACTAAAATTCTATAGTCTTACATCTTGAGTCTTAAAGTTATCTATCGTCTTGCAGTTATTTATATTGACTCTTGAAATTGATTATCATCTTGATGTAATCGTTATGTTTCTGCAAACCACAGTTCAAATCATGTTTTTTTATTCTATTCCGCAAATTGATGTCTTACGATCATTTATATTTGAGTCTTAAAATTGATTGTGGTCTTGTTGCAATCGTTATATATCTGCAACTATTGGTTCGTGTATTATTTCTTTATTCTATTCCACAAACTAAAGTCTTGTAGTCATTTATATTAAGTCTTAAAATTAGTTTTGCTCTTGTTGCAATCGTTGTATGAGCGTATATCTGCAACTATCGGTTCGATTATCATTTCTTTATTCTAATCCACGAACTAAAGCCTTGCAGTCATTTATATTGAGTCTTTGAAGTTGATTATCGTCTTTTTGCAATCATTACATATCTGCAAGTAACGGTTTGAATATCATCTCTTTATTCTATTCCAAAAAGGAATATCTTGTAGTCATTTATATAGTCTTGAAATTGATTATCGTTTTGTTACAGTCGTTATATATCTGCAAATAAGAGTTCAAATATCGTCTCTTTTTTCTATTTCACGAACTAAAGTCTTGTAGTCGTTATATGGAGTCTTAAAGTTGATTATTGTCTTGTGGCAAGCGTCATATATTTGTAGCTGTCGGTTCGAGTATCATTTCTTTATTCTATTCCATTAGTTATTTTGTACAACGTGTACAGCATTATACGGATAGAATTAAGCCAGAAAAGCGGTTTCGGGAAAGCGATGTGTTACCTTCTAGTAGAATCAGCAAAAAAGCACGTTTCTATCAATCCGATGGAGAAATTAATGCCACCAATGGTAAAAGCTTGGCTACAATTAACCTTAAAGACAATTGCCAGGTTAATGGCTAAAGCTTTATTTATAAACTACTTAACGTAGTAAGGGAATCACTTTATGGGATGGTTGTAAGATCGATTTTTAATTTGATAATTTAACAGGATGATATTGGAATAGATGGTAGCGACACCAGCTCAGAAGATTGCAATCCAGAAACAGTCTTACGACAACCGGTGAACTTTTTTGCCTAAAATCGTAGCACGAGGATAGGAATATCTGCGATGGCTACTGAATAGGGATTCACTAATTAGGTTTATCACTTCTTGTATATACGAGTGTACTACTAATCATTCACGACAAACATAGGCCTGTGATCGCATCAATCAGCCAATTAAGCCGATAGGCAAGGGTAAAGAGAAAAAAGCAGTAGCAGATGTCCTACAGGTTTGATGATGCTACTATTTGGCCGTATCACAGCGAACCCTAAAGTGTAAATATCTACTTATAGAATATTGCATATAATATACGCGATATAGATCTGCAATCTTGACGATGACCTGACACATCATGCCAGTAAAGTTAAAAATTCAACTGCTAATGGAGTCAAGGTTAGGTTTTTATAGCAAGTTCCTAGATAAATTAATCAATATAGAACCTACATGATTTTTAGTCAAAGGCAAGGCCAAATAGCTTGATATTCTTACGTCTTCATAACTAATTTCCGTTTAAAGGAATCAAAGTTGAACATTAACTAATTATTCTTGCTGAAATTGAATTTTTATATTCTAAATGCTAGAAAGTGGACCATGGAAGCTTTAGCAATGAAGCTGGATTACTGCAGCAAATTCAATTAATCAATTTTATGTGCCATAAAAATTTAAAAATTACCTTTGGTAAAAATGTTAACTTTATCATTGGAAATAATGGAAGTAAGTCCTATTTGAACAGAACTACATTACTATGGTTTCTTAGTTTTCACTCATATCCCTCATAGCAGGCATGAGGAATACTTTAATCTATATTGAATTAGCGATAAAAATTTCAAAATTGAGATTTAAGTTGACTTAAATTAATGAATAAATACTAAGTGATATTGCAGATGGCAGATTTGTTGCTTATATTGCCTCCTATTTACGTCGGTAGTAAAAGTTTTTATAGGATATTGACTAGGCAAATTAAATAGCACATTGCTCATTGGAGACAATCCTCACCATTTAGCTAGTACAATTAATTATAACCTACATAAATCCAAACATTTACTCCTAGGTGGTAAAAGCGCAATCATGGTGGGCATAATTGTTGGTTTGGGTGGACGCTCTCGATTAACTAATCGAGCAACCTCAATGAAAGGGCTAATTAAGAAAGGCAGCAGGTATCTTGTAGATTATAACTGCATTTAATAGATCATTTTACTGATAGATTAGGTTATAGTGGACCTTTTTTGATTTAAATCATGCAACATGTCATACAAGTATATCTACGAATCTTCATGTTTAATCTTTGGTATGATTTTGCTCTGATGAAAAAATAATCATATATTCACGTGTATAATTCTAATTTTAAATCGGATTTATGGAAGTCGAATTACTAATAGAGTAATTATTGCTATAGCGAATTTATTTATTTGCATAATCTCAATTTTAGTTAATAGATTTATAATAAATGAAATCTTTATTCCTCCCATTTCGCTTAATTCTGACCGCATTCAATTTTTAACTAAAATGAATCATTATTGAAATCGATAGTAGCAGTGGCGAGTAGAATATAGAATTAGTCTTTTAATTAAGAATTTTTTGAATTTTATTGCACGTTCATTTTGCATACTAAGAATAGGCTTGAATACGGCTATTCGTTTAATAGACTTCATTTACGTATTTATTAAATCATATTAAACAAAAATGAACTTTGAAATTTTGCTATTAAAAAATATTTAATCCTTACTAAAATTGGTTGATCATTAAACCAACATTATAGTTACGCTCGCATTATTATAACCTTAGCAAATGATGGTTCCGACAGTTACTATCCGGAAAAATTTGGTAGTAAAATCATCATTCAAAGAGATTTATGGCAAGATGGCCATGCAAACTACAAGATAAAGTCTTCGAAAGGTACATAGCTTACTCGTATTCTAGCTTGAGCTGGATAGGCCATGCATTTAAAATAATGGTATTGAGCAGGATGATTGAAATAAAGAAAATCCTACTGGAACTAAACAGTATTTCTTACTAGGATTCATTGTTGCTGAAGAGAAGAAGGAGCTAATGGCAATCTTGGACCATTTCGATATTCAAGTCGATAATCCAGTTTGTTTTTTAACTCAGGATGCTAGCAAAGAGTTCTTAAGCAGCCATCATCCCTCCAAGATGTATCAGGTACTCGTTTAATTCCAAAACATTTCTAGATATTATTTGCTTAAAACTATATTGACAACTTTATCAGAATAGAATCGATGGAATTTACTTGTAGTAATCAAAATGTTCGGAAAGGAATATCAGCGCTTTCTAGAGTATAAGATATTCCTAGCTCTAAAGTAGTTATTTCCATGTTTATTACGAAAAAAATGTATACTAATTACGGTAGCATATTAATTTAAAATTTCTCTTAAAATGCTACAACATGAGTTGCAATATAGCCAATATATTTAGTATCATTCAAAATGACATATCAAAGACCATTCCATCATTGTAAAGAATGGTAGCATAGTGTATATCTAAGCTACTTCTTCATAAGAATTTTCAATTTATCTCCATATTACTTAATATTCTCAGTAAATCCATGTATATGAAAGTTCGGCAACAACTTTCTGCTTGCATAAACAATCGTTTAGATCCATGGCTCCATGATATCATAATTTTAATCATATTCTATAAGATGTCAAAATTTAACCTGTAGAAATAAATTAATAACAGAACCATTACAATTTTGATCCTATAGTAAATTTTAAATTGTTATAAGCTATTATAGAAATGTCTTATAACGCCTGGTATACTGGCAAAGTGCAATTTTACCTCCGCCATATTATTAAGTGTTTGCTTCTGCCATCAGTTTTACCTCAAAGGTACTCAACTATCTCAGCTCATTAATAATTGCAATTATGCAAAATTATCACAACGAATCTTGCAAGATATCTTGAATAAGGAAGAGGAGGTAAGATAAGAGAATGATTTATTTCAATTCATCTCATGATTTTATTTAGCGGTTTGTGATTATGGCTTCGACTAGTCTCTGAAGGAACTCCAAGATGATTTGGAACAAAAAATGGAAAGGCAGAAATTGTTTGATCAAATTGATGAAATCAATCAGCAATTAACCCAACTTAAAAGTGAATTAGCTTGGGCTTACGTCTACCAAGAAGAAAATGTAAGCTATTCGTAATTACACTGGTAGAGTATTGCATTATTGCAATCCTAACTATTATAACGTTAGAACTCGTTCCTCAGCCAATATAACATGAAATACTTATTTGATCAAGTTTTCTTCATATGATAAATGAGTTATAGGCCTTAACTATGACAGAATAGAATTAGAGCTTTACTTCATTTTACAAATAAAATGTTTTTCAGTATAACAGAATAGAATTTGTGATCTGATCGATTCGTTAGGAATAATTTTCAACGTGGTAGAATAGAATTAATTGATTGATCTACCTTATATATCGTACAAAAAGCGCTAGTTAGACTACTGCATTAACGAGATGATAGTCATGACAATTTTTAACTCATATATTGTCAGAAATTGAAACAGATTGAATTCCAAGCTCAGCAAGTTTATTCTCGTCGAGCTGAAATTGAAGAAGAATTAATTGAAATTGAAGTATGTTCAATCGGCGTAGAAACGAATACTTTTAGCAAATATTTGTGGCAGCCGTTTAAAAATAAGAATATTCTATCTAAATTTTAATTTGTATCCTAAAACAAAATTCAATTTAATAAATACTTAAATCCCGTTATAGAAATATACACAAGATTGCCAAAGGGATAAAGAAGCGCTAGAACGAGAACTGAATCGATTAATCGACCGATTGAGCCATCTTCAACTTTGCAAAGAAGACTTCTTGAAGGAACATAATTGTGCCAAAGGAGACGAATGCAATTTGAAGGTAATAACTAGTAAACACTTTGTAGAGTCCATTAAAACAGGAAAGGATAGAATACTAACGATTTCAATGGATAACTTTACGTCTGGAATGATTCTTAATTCCTTGACCATCCCTTCACTAGCAAAAGTATGAATCTATCAAGTGTAATGTCGATCATTTAAAAAACACTTACTATGGCCTAGAGACTAAATTTAACGAAATCAATCAAAAGTGAGAATATTATGGAAGAGTGAACTGTTGCCATTGGCTATAAATCACTCAAAAAATAACCATAAGCTAATAAAATATCGAATTGATCTATTACCTCTACTGGACTTGTTGATTGTAGAAGGCTATTAGGGCAGGCAGGTAAGCAATTTGCCTTACTCGAAAAAGAACTTTCTGGCCAGAAGTCAGCATTATCTAGTTATGCTCAGCGAAAATTGCAACTATCGGAAGAAATTAAAGCCGAAAAGGATCAACTCAATCAACTACAGTACTTAGTAGATCAATTTTTGATATACATCATACGAAATAACATTTACTGAGATTAAAATGAAACCTTGGATTGGATAAGAAATGAATTTATTACTTGGCTAGGTTAGATATTGCTATGCAGCAACAGGAATTGAACGATTTAGAAAAGGAAACTGGCAGATTGAAAGCATCTCGCTGGAATAGACTAGCTATTTATGGCAGTTATATGCCAGAATTAATCCGCCATTTGCATGAAATGAAACAACGTGGACAATTTCACAGGAATCCATATGGGCCACTAGGTATCGCCATGAAAATCTTGTTGCTTATAGGACAGAGATAGAGAAATAGTTCCTGACTAGTTTAGAAAGTGATAGCGGTAATTTCGTAGTTATGGAAGAAAGTTAGAGACAGTTTAGTCATCAATTTCTTTGATTTGTCATGGATAGGCTACCATATTGCTACTCGAGATCCAAAATGGAATTTAGCCATTGAGCGATGCCTTGGTAGAGCCTTGACTTCGTTCCTCTGCCATAATTTCCACGATGCCAAACTTTTAAAAGAGGTCTGTCGAAAGATGAAAATCGCCAAGTATCCAACCGTTATCGTTTGTCGCTATCAGGTAGAGGTTTATAATATCTATTCTGTTAAACTAAAAAATCAATTTAACACGTCTACACTGTAATTTCATTTCGCCATTTTCAACTAGGATAAGCCATATGATATCCCGACTACGGTAAGATGAGTTGGAATGGATGATGGTGTAAATTATCATTATAAGTTTCATTTGCCTTAGAAAGAGAATAGCTACTGAATGGCGGCATGGCTAGTTAGGAGAGGCATTGCTGTAAAACGCATTTGAATTCTATCGTCTTTGCTTATTAACTATCATTGCAGGAAGGACAGGGTCTTTATAAGACAGTGTTGGATATGCTAATTGCGGAAAATTGTAATATAACCAATTGTCTGATTGATCAGGTAATGATTTCACGGTCGAATAATTGTAATCCTTAAAATAGACAAGGATACTCTTGTCATTTTAATGGTGAAAAAATATTCATTTGTCGTGCCAGTAGTACTAGAATAGTACGAGCGGTTTCATGATTAAAGCGACAGCTGTAAAATGCAGTATTATCGAATCATCGTTGGATGGTAGCATTTAATGAAAAGTTGAAGCTTTTGCCTGCCTGCTAAATTATTTCAATTTTAGCTGCATCATCGAATCATCGTTAGATGTTACCATTTATCAAAAAGCTTCAACTTTTGCCAGCTTGCTAAATTATATCAATTTTAGCTGCATCATCGAATCGCCATTAGATGGTAGCATTTATTGAAAAATTGAAGTTTTAAAAGCTTGCTTAATTATTTCAATTTTGGCCATACCATCGAATGCTGGTTGGATGGTAGCATTTCTTGAAAAGTTGGAAGCTTTAACAGCTTCCTAAACTACTTCAATTTTAGTTGTAATTTAAAAGACGGAAACATTTTTCTTCTTTATTCACTCAACACTTTGAAGTTCTAATATTCCGAAGCTCAATTTTGATATTCTAATTCACGAACAGAAACAAATCGAAAGAACTCTCTTGATTGAAAGTAGCCAAGAAGCCAGAGCATTTATGTGCCAGCAACAAGCACACCAGCTCCAGGTCGGTAGGCTAAATTTAAGCTATCTTTTCCGTCCACTTTCATGAATTAAGAAAGTGGTATTATGAGTTAAACCTTTAAAAATTACTTTAAATTAAGGAAATTCTCATTTGCTATTCATATCTTTGTGTCTAAAAATCATTAAATCTGTTTGAATCAAAGAAATCCCATTTACTATTTGTATCTTTGGGTCTATTTAGGCTTATACACTTACTGGGGATAGCATTGAAGTCGGCAAAAATCATCGATGCTATTCCAATACTCGCCCCCATATTGATTATCTAATTGAAGATGTTCAGCAAGAAATTAAGTAAGTAGAAAAATTCATGAAAGGATAACCAAGCGGTTTCAAGATCTTTATTCTACGATCAACTTTAAATGCTAAGCTACTCTTCTTGCTCAGTAGACCGACCGAATTTGATTATTTGCTTAATGTATCAAACCCTTAGCTTAGTTTACCCTAAATCGGAAAGCTAAAGCAAAAACGAAATTGCTCCAACCCTGTTTGTCTACCCCATCCCAATAGAAAATATTAATATCCCATAATCGTTGCTTCTAATAGCAATATTGTTTCTTGCTTCATATCATCAACAACGATTGATTTATACACAACTCTGAAACTTGCAATGACCATCTGTCATTTGCAATAGCATATAAAGTTATTCATGTGTTTACAATAGCCGATATTAGAGATTCAATATTTTCTAAAAAACCAAAATTAGATTGTTGAGCGATAGATTTAGATTTTAGCTCTTATCTTGCGATAGGTAATTGGTTAGACCCTTCATTTATGTGGAATAAATATGCAAAACGGAAATAGTAAAGCCAATATCACTTAGATTACAATCTTGCATTGCCATGCATCGATCTTGATGGATAGTAAATGTTGCTATGCCCTGATAGTTTGTATTCCTATTTTCACCTGCATGGTCACCTATCTGAGCTTTATTCCAGATCATTCTAAGATTTTTATATATAACTTTAAGATAGGTTATAAAATCTTCTTAGCTCAGTGATGTATATCAAGTGCTAATGGTATCCTAATGCGATATCGGAATTATTTTGTATAAATAAGATATCAAAATTATTATGTATAAAGGATGAACTTAAACAACTCTCTGGTATGTTTAATGATAGCAAACGCAGGGAACGAACCGAGAAAATAAATCAAATTATTACTAAATCACAGTTTCAATTCCAGTTTACTACCAATGTCATTTCAGTTCAAAAGGTATAGTACACTGAATGCAATACTTTTTTCACGAGATTGCTGCATGATGATAGATATTTCTTTTCTAAAACTACAGGAAGAATTAGCTTCAATATGCGATGCTATGTTAGCCTGTCAAGATAAAACTCAAGAATTACAAAATGTAAGCTTTTCCATGGTAATCAGCTGTGTATAAGAACATTAAATCCATTTTCATTTAACTTTATAACATAACTAACCTACGACTAAAAAGGAAATAGAAGACATTAAAAGTACGGAATTTGTGCAAGAAGACAGCTCAGAATTAGTAAGATAGAATATGCATGCAGTTGATGGATAATTATTGAATTAGAATCGACTCGTATGCATATTATTGTTTCTCATGAATTTGTATTAGGAAAAAGAATTGCAAACATGCCAAGAAGAAATTAACGATGAAGAAAAACTCGTACGGAGCATCTAATTAGTTTATGCTAACAGTCAATTCGCAGCCCATTCCAGCTTGAATTGTGAGAATATTCTTTCTCATTTACCGACTCTTGCAGCTGCAGCAGGCATATCAGAATTATCAGGAGGCTTTAAAAACAGTCCATTTATTGGAAAGTCAAAAGAAAGAAATTGAGTGTGAGGAGCAGCAAGTTAGAGAAAAATTATACGAATACCAGGTAAAATTCTAATCTTAGTATCAATTTGAAAATTGAAAGATTTTCTTCCTTCCAGGAACTTTATAGCTTCTAGCCTGACCGAAAAATAATGTTGTACTGCATTAATTAATGGCTAACTCGAGTTGCTAATTCATGATATCAAAAAATGATTCCATGAATAGTAATACCTATATCTCTCAATTTCTAGCATCTCATACACTTAATTATCTATAAATGTATACGCTTTAAACTAGAAGAGAATTCTACGTCGCAGTTATGAGGCGAAAGATGTTATTTTTATACTATTTTAATAGAACAATTC